GGAGCCTGCATAGCCAAGACAATTCTAAGAAAAAAAAGAAAAAGCTGGAAGCATCACGCTACCTGACTGCAAACTATACTACAAGGCTGCAGTAACCAAAACAGCATGGTACTGGTACCAAAACAGATATATAGACCAGTGGAACAGAACAGAGGCCTCAGATAAAATGGCATACACCTACAACTATCTGATCTTTGACCAACCTCACAAAAGCAATAGGGAAAGGATTCCCTATTTAATAAATGGTGTTGTGAAAACTGGCTAACCATATGCTGAAACTGGACCCCTTCCTTACACCTTATACAAAAATTAACTCAAGTGGATTAAAGATCTAAATATAAGACCTAAACCCACAAAAACCCTAGAAGAAAACCTAGGCAATACCATTCAGGACATAGGCATGGGCAAAGACTTCATTAAAACACCAAAGCAATGGCAACAAAAGCCAAAATTGACAAATGGGTTCTAATTAAACTAAAGAGCTTCTGCACAGCAAAAGAAACTATCATCAGAGTGAACAGGCAACCTACAAAATGGTAGAAAATTTTTGCATTCTACCCATCCGACAAAGGACTAATATCTAGAATCTACAAAGCACTTAAATTTACTGGAAAACACCAAGCAACCCCATCAAAAAGTGGGTGAAGGATATGAATAGACAGTTCTCAAAAGGAGACATTTATGCAGCCAACAAACATGAAACGAAGCTCATCACTGATCATTAGAGAAATACAAATTAAAACCACATTGAGATACCATCTCACACCAGTTAGAATGGTGATCATTAAAAAGTCAGGAGACAACAGATGCTGGAGAGGATGTGGAGAAATAGGAACACTTTTACACTGTTGGTGGGGGTGTAAATTAGTTCAACCATAGTGGAAGTCAGTATGGTGATTCCTCAAGGATCTAGAACCAGAAATACCATTTGACCCATCAATCCCATTACTGGGTATATACCCAAAGAATTATAAATTTTTGTATTATAAAGACATAGGCACACATATGTTTATTGCAGCACTGTTTGCATTAGCAAAGACTTGGAACCAACCCAAATACCCATTAATGGTAGACTGCATAAAGAAAATATGGGACATACACATTATGGAATACTATGCAGCCATAAAACAGGGTTAGTTCATGCCCTTTGCAGGGACATGGATGAAGCTGGAAACCATCATTCTCTGCATACTAACACAAGAACAGAAAACTAAGCACTGCATGTTCTTACTCATAAATGGGAGTTGAACAATGAGAACACATGGACACAGGGAGGGGAACATCACATACTGGGGACTGTCAGGGATTGGAGGGCTAGGGGAGGAATAGCATTAGGAGAAATACCTAATGTAGATGACAGGGTGATAGATGTAGCCAACCACCATGGCACTTGTATACCTGTGTAACCTGCATGTTCTGCACATGTATGCTAGAACTAAAAGTACAATATTAAAAAAAAAAAACTTTTTGAGCACCTTTGCTTTTCTGATGAGTATATTTCAGAACCAAATGGGTTTTAAAATGCAACTCTAAAACAGATGACTGATAGATCATTGTTGTGAACTTTTTTTTGTTTAAAAGACATGTTTAAGGACAGGATCTGATTACACAAGACAATTGGGTGCATTTTTTGAATTATAAACAAAATTGTTATTACTTGTTTTAATGTGTATTCCATTGTTTTATTATTTTATTTAGGTATGGCACAGAGAAGAGGGCACTGGATTTAAGTTACTTATAACTTACTGTGTTTAAATTGTGTTCTATTGCAATGTACATTTTTTTCTGTGCTATATTGTCCTGTAACTGAAGTATAGTAATTATTTTATGGAAATGTTAACAATTCTGTACCAACTTTGAATAAAATGAAAAATTTTTTTAAATTGTGTTTATTGAGCCCCAATATCTTCTGTAAAAATGGGGATAATGTGTATCCCACAGATTAGTTGCAAGAATTAAATACAGAGGCAGAAATGCTTTTCTTGGTTTGGCACTTAGTACATGTTAAATCTGTTATATTTCAGAATGTGTTAATTATATTTGAGTTCCTAAGCATTAATCATTCTAATCTTTTATTTAGCTGCCAAGCATTTTCTCTCTCTCTCTCTCTCTTTTACTTTTTGAGCCAGAATCTCACTCTGTGGCTCAGGCTGGAGTGCAGTGGCTCAATCTCAGCTCCCTGCAACCTCTATCTCCTGGGTTCAAGCAGTTCTCCAGCCTCATCTTTCTAAGTAGCTGGCATGACAGGCATGCACCACCAAGCTTCACTAATTTTTTGTATTTTGGTAGAGACAGGGTTTCACTATGTTGCCCCCAGGGTGGTCTCGTCTCTTGAGCTCAGGCAGTCCACCAGTCTTGGCTTCCCAAAGCGCTAGGATTACAGGTGTGAGCCACTGCGCCCGGCCTCCATCAAGCTATTTAATGATTATATTTTTGCACTTTTTTTTTTTTTTGAGACGGAGTTTCGCTGTTGTTACCCAGGCTGGAGTGCAATGGCACGATCTCGGCTCATCGCAACCTCCGCCTGCTGGGTTTAAGCAATTCTCCTGCTTCAGCCTCCCGAGTAGCTGGGACTACAGGCGCGCACCACCATGCCCAGCTAATTTTTTGTATTTTTAGTAGAGACGGGGTTTCACCTTGTTGACCAGGATGGTCTCGATTTCTAGACCTCGTGATCCACCCGCCTCGGCCTCCCAAAGTGCTGGGATTATAGGTGTGAGCCACCACGCCGGGCCTATTTTTGCACTTTTATTTAATAAAATAAAATATGGCAAAAAAAAATAAATAGTAATGAAAAGAGAAGTACTTACTCAAACCACTACATAATATTATATATGTGTGTGATATTGAGCAAGTTCCTTAATCTCTCTGTGCCTCAGTTATTTTATAGTTAAAATGGTAATAATATTAGTACCTGTTACATAATGTTACTATAAGGAATAAGTGAAATAATACACATTAAACAGTTAGAACAGTGTCCAGCACATAACTTGTTTTTCTCTTATTGTTTTGCTATCTTTCTTGTCTAGAGAGCCTCTCAGCTTTCTTATAAATACACTTTTATAAAGTAAAACAACAAATATATAATATTGCATATTTCATTCTTTATCTTGACTTCTTTATATAAACTTTTCAAAACAGTGAAGATAGACTAGATCTTTCAGATGAAAGAATACAGTAAAATGACATCTTAAAATTAACCTCATTTAAACTCTTAAGCTTTTTTTTAAAAAAAAAAAGAACTTGTTTTCACTGATTCTTGCTGACCTAGACATTACTACCCTGGCACAGTAAAATCTCTTCTTTTAGTAAATTTATACTGTGAACTCAGTTTCTTATGGGAGGTTATCTTTTTAGTGGTAATGAATTAAACACCCAGAGTAATCTTTAGTTCTTAGAAGTGGATTTTGTGAATGATGGTACAATAATAGAAGTATGAAGTTTTTAAAAAAATTATATTCATACCTAAATGCCTTAATTTTAACTTTGTTGGCAAAGTGCTGACCTTATTAAAGATATCTGTACAGTTTGCATCATGCATTGATTTAAAGAAGACTTAAACTTTTCCAGCTGTATTTCACATTTACATCAAGGATGTACTAAAATTCAGCTGTTTGCAGTTTTCACGATGCTTCTTTGAAGGAAAGTAGGTTTCATGTGAACTTCAATTAACCTAAGCCTTAGCAGTAGCTTTGTTTTTGAGACGGAGTCTTGCACCATCGCCCAGGCTGTTAGTGCAATGGCATGATCTTGGCTCAGTATCTCCGTCTCCTGGGTTCAAGCAATTCTGTTGCCTCAGCCTCTTGAGTAGCTGCAACTACAGGCATGCACTGCCATGCCCAGCTAATTTTTTTTTGTATTTTTAGTAGAGATGGGGTTTCACCATGTTGGCATGGATGGTCCTGATCTGGCCTCGTGATCCACCCACCTCGGCCTCCCAAAGTGCTGGGATTAAAGGCGTGAGCCACTATATCCAGCCAGCAGTAGCTTTTAAACATTGTGCCATATGCCAGAAGTCATTAGACTTCTGTCTTTTTTTAAATTGTTTTTTTACTAAGACATTTGTTAATCTTAAGATGGTTTGAATCATTTCAAAAATTCAGTCTATGGTGTAACTTTAGGGTAGAGGTCAGAAGGTAAACAGCCAGAAAAGTTTAAAAGTGAAGCAGAACAGTGATCTTGAGATAACCAGACGGTTTAAATTATACTCTTTCTCCATGCAGTTTCTCTCTCTCTTCTCCAGTTAAGAGTCTCATTCTTTCTTCCATGTGACCCAGTTTCTCAGTGTGTCTTTTTAGTAGTAAAATTGAGAAAGTCCTCTTTTTTTAAGATGATGTCAATAGGCATCTTTTTTTCAATGTCATTTTAAAGTATTCTTTTCCTGAAGGATATTAACAGGAAGAATTTTGATGCTACTAACAGGGTTATTAATGTCTTCATAGAGCAGTGATTACAGGTTTTCTCAGTCCACATAAGTTTTCCTAGCACTGTATCAATCACCTTGGAGGCTAACATCTCAGAAAAATATGATTCTGAAGATAACATTTTAGAAATACGTTTACATTGAGCAGTGATATACTAGAAAGAAGTATGAGCTTAAAAATCAGAAGATCCGGTTTCTGGCCCAAAGTTACTTATTAGTCGTGATTTAGGATGCCTCTTTGAGCTTTTCATTTGTGTTTTAAATAAAAGCCTATCTTAGCAGGCTTGTAATGTGAGATGTTAGTAAAATTAAAAGTTATAAAGCACATTGTAAAATTTTCATTTTTATGTTATACAGAATGGTGCAAATAGCATATATGGTTAGTGACACTTTAATTCATATACAAATAGCTAATAATATAGAAATGACATGAAACTTGTGAAAGGAAGTTTGAGCGCCAGTAATCCATAGTATTGTACCTGTTCTTTTCTGAGAATCTGTTACTTTATTGACTCCTTAAGGATTCTGATTTGTTGAAGAGAGGAAGTATTTAATTAATTTCTACTCTCTATTCCAGTTGTATATGTATCAGCTGTTCCGAAGTTTAGCCTATATTCATTCCTTTGGAATCTGCCATCGGGATATTAAACCACAGAACCTCTTGTTGGATCCTGATACAGCCGTATTAAAACTCTGTGACTTTGGAAGGTACGCCACTGTCTCTTCTCCCCCTACTGTGCTCTTTTAAATGTATTCCTTTTGCAATATCAGCCTAAATACTGTAATTCTTACTCAAGAAGTATAAACTAGTGCAGCTGTGAGAGTTGTGTTATTTTGTGTCATAATTATAAATGCATATACTCTTTCATTGAACAATTTAACTTTTAGGAATTATTTCATTAGAAATACACATTTACAAAACATTGTGTATATATAGGGATTTTTATTTATTTTGGAAGGAAAATTTGTATTGTTTTAATTATTTTTATGTACAGAAAACTCAACAGTGTACACTTAATCCAGTTTAGTGGCAAGTTCTTTAGCCTTTGCCTTTTCAAGCTTGGCGATATGAGCCACAGACTGGGACCCAGGACATTGCCTCCCCAGTGACAGCGGATCTCATCATATCTGTCATTGTAAGTGATCCTGATAGCTTCCACCAGCTTAGCCAAAGCGCCTTCGTCTTCCAAGTTAACCTGTGTGAAGGTGACAGTGGTGCAGGTCTTCCTGTGGACTGGACATCCCAGTCTTGCTATCCCCTTGATAATACAATAAGGGACTCCCATCTTACAACACAGGGCAGGCAAGAAGACAACCAGCTCAATGGGATCCATGTCGTGTGCAGTCACCACCAGCTAAGCTTTCTTGTTTTCCACCCAGGTGGTGATGGTGTTAACTCCTGCTCGAAGGACAGGTGGTCTCTTAGTGGGGACGTCCCCTTGGCCAGCTGCTTTCTTCTTGGCCCGGGCCAATAGCCTCTGCTTCTTTTGCTTTGTCTCTGATCTCTGCTTGTGGGCCAGCTTAAGTAGCTGAGTAGCTGTTTGGCAGTCCAGGGCCTGGGTGAACTGGTTAATTGCAGGAGGCACTTTCAGCAGCTTTTATAGAGCATGGCTCTGCTGCGTCACCCTGATATAGCGGGGCCATTTCACAAAGCGGGTGAGGTCTCTTTTGGGCTGGACATCGTGTCCAGGGCCAAAATTCTTAAGCCTTTTCTCAAACAAGGGATTTACCACTTTCTTTGCCTCTTGCTTCTTCATGACAGCAGGGGCTGGAGCCACCTTCTTCCCCTTGGTCTTCTTTCCTTTCAGCATCTTGGGCGGTGGGAGGAGAGAGAGCAGGATTTTTATTATAGTATTGTTTATAAACATGTTAGTAGGAAAATGACTAAATAAATTATGATACATACAGAGTAATAAATGCAACCACGAGAAAGAATGAGGCAGCTCTCTGTGAACTGAAAAGGAATGATCTCTAGGAAATATTAACTGAAGAAAGCAAGGTCAAGAGTATATGTATTGTTTGCCACCTTTTATGTTTTAAAAACATACAGAGTGTAACTATATGTACAAATACATGTGTGGCTTGTTTCTGAAATGGTGCATAGTCTATAACATTTGATTGCTTGAGAAGGGAAACTTTGGGAATATAATATAGTTAGGAAACTCACTTTTCCATTGATTGTATTTTAGTATTGTTTGAATTTATACTATGTATATATACTTGTTTTTCAGTAACTACTAAATTTTTAAAAAATATTATACATTACTGTGTATCTTTTTAACTTCACAATTAACCTCAATTCAGAGATGAGATAAAAGGTCTACTAGCACTGTTTTCTTCATTTTACTCTATAATTTAACCTTTTATTCTACCTTTTTTCCTGCAAATTCCAGCAAACTTTCTGCTTTTAAAAACTCTTTTCTTGGTAATACACTGTGAGTTTGTAATAAAACTTTATTTTTTGCATTTTCAGTTTTCAGTACTTTGTTCTTACCTAACCTTTTAACATGTAGTCAAGCCTATATTCCCATGTAACTCAGGTGTTTACCCTGCTACTTTCTCACTGGTGTAATCACCTCACGTCTCTCCTCATGGTCCCTAAGACAAAATCTACATAATTTGGATTCTCTCCAATTTAATTTTTTCATCCTTGTTACAAATTCTTTCTTTTATCATAATCTTTTAATTACATATTGTCCCACATTTGTTGATACCTATGTTCCTATCCCTTTGTAATACTTTTACGTCAACTTACAGTTTAAATTTGGGAATTAACATAAGATATATTTTCTACAGGCTTCTCTTGAGACAGATGCTTAAAAAAATAAGCAAATCTGTTCTGTCATGAGTTAAACTTTTCTTAATCTCACAATGTGTCCTCTTTCAGACCATCCTCATTTTACTGTTTCCTAATTTCAGATGACCTGTTACAGGATCCAACTCACTTTGCAGGCCATGATTCTGTTCCCTGAACTATTTTTAAAAAAAATTTTTTTTAATTATTTATTTATTTATTTTTTGAGACAGAGTTTCACTCTGTTGCCCAGTCTGGAGTGCAGTGGCCTGATCTCAGCTCACTGCAACCTCTGCCTCCTGAGTTCAAGTGATTTTCCTGCCTCATCCTCCCACATAGCTGGGATTATAGGCACGTGCCACCATGCCCTGCTAATTTTTGTAATTTTAGTAGAGGTGGGGTTTCACCATATTGGCAGGCTGGTCTCAAACACCTAACCTCTGGTGATCCACCAGCCTCAGCCTCCCAAAGTCCTGGGATTACAGGCGTGAGCCACTGCGCCTGGCCCCCTAAACTATTTTTAAAAAGGGTAAAAGATAATAAAACTCTTATTTGATGTTTGAAACAAAGCACTACTACTTGTCTATAGGAAAAACTGGCCAAATCAGATATGTTTTATTGTTAACAGGGTGTCTTCCCCATTGAGAGTGACTGACTTTATAGGAACTGTAAAAAGACAATGAGACACCAAGGTTAGAAGAGCTTCTGTTCTCATGATAGTGTCAAAACACTTGGTACAGCCCATTCTCTTGGGATATAAAATAGCTTTATTCTAATAAATTTGGAAGAGGGATTTTACTTGTTTGAGAGCTCATTTTGTAAACCATCTGATTTTTTTGTTTTTAACAAAATTGGTTTGGCCAGATAGAGTTTGGGAAACACTTTGGAGTTTACATATCAGATTGGTAGTTTGAACAAAGTACTATTACTCTCTCTTTTTTTTTTCCTCAGAGGGGGTCTGTCACCAGGCTGGAGTGCAGTGGCGTAATCTTGGCTCACTGCAACCTCCAACTCCCTGGTTCAAGTGATTCTTCTGCCTCAGCCTCCCAAGTAGCTGGGATTACAGGCATGCACCACCATGCCCGGCTAATTTTTTTTTTTTTTTTTTTGTATTTTTAGTAGAGACAGGGTTTCACTCTGTTGGCCAGGCTGGTCTCCACCTACTGACCTCAAGTGATCCACTCGCCTTGGCCTCCCAAAGTGCTGGTATTACAGGCATGAGCCCCAGTGCCCAGCCTATTACTCTATTCTTAGTTATTTTTTACTAGTTGAAATGGGGCGTAAAAGTAGCCAAAGGACTTGTTGGAGTATTTAGGGACCAAAGCTAGATGTGATCACAGTATTGGGCAAGGAGTTAAAACCAGCCTCCTCTATAAGAGAGGTGGCCCCATTTTTGTAGCTTCATCAAGTAATGAAAAAACTTCAGGCTACAAAGCTTGGATACTAACATTTTGTCTTGTAGTGAGTTTTCTGAACTTAATTGGATCCATCTTATTAATTTTAAAATGTCCTTTAGAAGCTATAATGGTCTCCTATCAATTATGCTGAAAACTAAATGTCATAATTTTCATGCAGCCTAAAAACAGGGATTAGTATTTATTAATTTATGAAATGGTTATTGTAGGTCAGTACTTGGGGAGAGGGTTAAAAAACAAACTTCAAAACTGGTGTTGAAGGCAAAACAAGTTAAGGTTAGAGTTATCATTTACTAGAAATAAATGGAAGAAAAGAAAGCCCAGTCATTGAAATCCTTGTGGCTATGTTTGTCTGTCTTTACCCTGCTTTTCCAGTACCTCTACGTCAGTATTTTCTTACCTGTTTTTTTTGACACTTATTGTTTTACTGTTGTGATTTTGTTACATTTTGCCCTATATTTATCTTTTTTTTTTTTTGAGACGGAGTTTTGCTCTTCTTACCCAGGCTGGAGTGCAATGGCGCGATCTTGGCTCACCGCAACCTCTGCCTCCTGGGTTCAGGCAATTCTCCTGCCTCAGCCTCCTGAGTAGCTGGGATTACAGGCGTGCGCCACCATGCCAAGCTAATTTTTCATATTTTTAGTAGAGACGGGGTTTCACCATGTTGACCAGGATGGTATCGATCTCTAGACCTCGTGATCCACCCGCCTCGGCCTCCCAAAATGCTGGGATTACAGGCTTGAGCCACTGCCGCTGGCTGTTTATCTTTATTATTACTGTATGTCAGAATAGCTACCTTCTACAGTTTATTTTATTCTGTCTTTGAATTATCTTGAGCAACATCTCAAAAGAAAGTAGTTGTAATTTATTATACTTTGATGTTTAAAATACTTGCTACAAAGTAATTTAGTAGGAAAATTAGAATAAGAAAACACACAATTAAACTTATTATAGCAGAGTTAGAATTCATAGTCTGTGAATCATTTCTACCCTGAAGTTGAAGGGCTTGTCTGTTTATAATTTTTTGGGTAATAAATGTTTATGCAGTTAATAAATTGACCACAATGTGGAAAAATATTTAGTCTATAAGTCTTGAAATATTTACCTTGAGTCAGAAGTCAAAATGCAAGACAGTAGCCAATTTCTTGCCCTTTTTAATGAAATATATTGGGTAAGGAGTATTCATTCTTAGAATCTATTATCATGCTTTTTGGTGGGGAGGCACCTCTTTTCTGCCCTTGCTTCTTAGTATTTTAGAGGTGGAATTTGGAGAATAGAGGATCAGAAGAAATTCAACACATTCTTTTTTGCTTTTGGTGCCTTCTTCCTTAGGGGACCAATGCTTTCTTTAAAAATTGCTTTTCTTTTTTTGCAGAGCAAGGTGTTAAAATTACAAATTTCTTTTGTCAGAGATAGTTACAGTTTACATTTTCTTTTTCATATATTATATGATTCAAATGATGTGAATCTTAGAAAATCATTTGATACTGTGAAAGGGTAGCAGTCTAGGTTCTTTTAAGATTTAAATTTAAAGAATTTCTGCTTTTTATTTGTATTTCTTTTTCTGTTAGTGCAAAGCAGCTGGTCCGAGGAGAACCCAATGTTTCGTATATCTGTTCTCGGTACTATAGGGCACCAGAGTTGATCTTTGGAGCCACTGATTATACCTCTAGTATAGGTAAGTACTGAATCTGAATTTAATGCTTGTAATTATTAATTGCATCTTGATTTTAATAATTTAGTATTATTAATCTGTACTTTTCATTTCCATTGAAAGATGGGTATATCCTATAATGTTTTTTTCTTAAAGCTTGAGATGCAAACATGTACAGGCATACCTCATTTTATTGCCTTTTCAGGTACTGCTTTTTTTTTTTTTTTAAACCAGTTGAAGGTTTGTATCAACCCTGAGTCAAGCAAGTCTGCCTGCACTATTTTTATAAGAACATGTGCTCACTTCATGTCTTTGTGTCATCATGTGTTTGTGTCACATTTCGGTAACTATTGCAACATTCCAAAGTTTTTTATTATTGTATCTGCTATGGTGATCTGTGATCAGTGGTTTTTATGTTACTGTTGTAATTATTTCTGGTTGCCACAAACCACAACAATATAAGACAGCAAACTTAATCCATCAGTGCTGTGTATGTTATGATTATTCTACGAGCTGGCCATTCCCCATCTCTCTTTCTCTCCTCAGGCCTCCCTGTTTCCTGAGAGACAACAATATTGAAATTAGGCCAGTTAATAACTCTGCATTTGCCTCTAAGTGTTCAAGTGAAAGGTAGAGTAGTACATCTCTCAGTTTAAATCAAAAGCTAGAAATGGTTAAGCTTAGTGAGGAAGGTATGTGGAAAGTTGAGACAGGCCAAAACCTATGCCTCTTGTGCCAGTTAGCCAAGTTGTGACCACAAAGGAAAGGTTCTTAAAGGAAATGAACTGCTACTCCAGTGAACAGATGAATGATAAGAAAGTAAAACAGCCTTATTGCTGCTACGGAGAAAGTTTAGGTGGTTTGGATAGATCAAACCAACCACAATATTCACTTGAGCCAAAGCCTAACCCTGAGTGAGGCCTGCACTTCCTTCAATTCTGTGAAGACTGAGAGAGGTGAGGAAGCTACCCAAGAAAAGTGTAAAGGTAGCAGAGGTTATTTCATGGGGTTTACGGGAAAAGCTACACCATGCTATAAACATGCAAGGCAAGCAGCAAGTGCTGATGTGAAGCTGCAGCAAGTTATCTAGAAGATCTAACTAAGATCATTGATGAAGGTGGCTACATTAAACATCAGAGTTTTAATGGAAACCAAACAGCTTTCTACTGTATTGGAAGAAGATGTCATTTAGGACTTTAATCTCTAGATTTCCTAAAGATGAAAGACTTCCTGTAGAGAGAAGTGTCAGTGCCTGGCTTCAAAGCTTCTAAGGACAGGTTGACTCTCTTATTAGGAGCGAATGCAGCTGGTGACTTTAAGTGGAAGCTGGTGCTCATTTACCATTCCAAAAATCCTAGGACCCTTAAGAATGATGCTAAATGTACTTTGCCTGTAAACAAATGGAGCAACAATGAATAAATGACAGCATATCTGTTTATAGCATGGTTTACTGAAAATTTGAAGCCTACTGCTGAGACCTACTGCTCCAAAGAGAAATACTCCTTTCAAAATATTACTCCTTATTGACAATGCAACTGGTCACCCAAAGGTTGAGAAATAAATGTAAGGCCGTAGTTGCCATAGATAATGATTACTCTGATTGATCTGGGTAAAGTCAATTATAAATCTTCTGGAAAGGATTCACCATTCTAGGTGTTAAGAACATTTGTGATTCATGAGAGTGGGTCCAAATAATATGAACAAGATTTTGGAAGAAGTTGATTCCAAGCCTCACAGATGATCTTGAGGTATTCTAGACTTCAGTGAAAGAAGTTTCTGCAGATGTTGTGGAAATAGCAAGAGAATTGGAATTAGAAATGAAGTCTGAAAATGTGACTGAACTGCTGCAATTTCATGATAAAACATAAACAAGTTCCTTCTCTTATGGATGAGCAAAGAAAGTGGTTTCTTAAGGTGGAATCTACTCCTAGTTAAGATGCTGTATTGAAATCACAACCAAGGATTTAGAATATTATATAATTGTAGTTGATAAAGAAGCAACAGGATTTGAGAGAACTGACTCCCATTTTGAAAGTAGTTCTACTGTGGGTAAAATGCTATCAAAGAGCATCTCATACTACAGAGAAATCTTACATGAAGGGAAGAGTCAATTGATGTGGCACATGTTGTTGTTACTTTAAGAAATTACTCCAGCCACGTCCCAGCCTTCAGCAACTGCCACCCTGATCAGTTAGCAGCCATCAACATCAAGGCAAGACCCTCTACCAGCAAAAAGATTACAACTCACTGAAGACTCAGATGATAATTAGCACTGTTTTTTAGTAATAAAGGGTTTTAAAATTAATGTATGTACTTTTTTTTAGATAGAATTCTGTTTTACAACTTAATACTTATAGTATAGAGTGAACGAATCTTTTATACACACTGGGATACCAGAAAATTTGTGAGAATTGCTTTATTGTGTCTTACTTTAGTGGTTTGAAACCAGTTCTGCAACATCTCTGATGTATGCCAGTATAGAATTTTTCAAATTTTACTTTTTAGAATTTAACATATACCTACTATTCTGTTTTCTTCCTTGGACTATTAGAATTATAAAGCTAATAGTTTTTATGTTAAGAATTTAAATTAATTCTAAGTATACTTTTAAAAAATTTTCTTATTTAAAATGCTCCTGAAATTCTTCTGAGCCTGCTTACACTAGTTGGAGAATTTATCAATAATGTTATTTCATTAAGCTAATAATGAAAATGATAGTACGGCCATATTGTTGACATTTCTTTCATGCTATCTCTGTTATTTCTATAAAACCAGCTTAAATCATTAGTAGTTTTGCTAAACCCACTGATTCTGTATGAGTCTTCACCCAAGATGTTTAGTGGTAGAAGGAACTGAATAGAGATCATTAGCTTTAATCATCATTGACTTCTCTTTTACTCCATTTTAGCCCACTAGCCAGGAGTGAACAGAGAGAGCATGATCAGCTGGACATGAATAGGAGGCTAACAAACAAGGAGCAACTTTAAGCTAGATGTGCAAGTGGAAACCAAAATTATTTTACTCTTACATATTATTTCTGAAGAGAATTCCTTAGTCTGAAAACAGAAACAAAAACATGCAAATAATAAACCAAAAAAAAAAAAAAAAATCCCCACAGTAACAGAAAACTAAAACAAACAAACTATAAAATAGACCTGGCCTGGTGCAGTGGCTCACATCTATAATTCCAGCACTTTGGGAGACTGAGGTGGGCAGATCACTTGAACTTAGGAGTTTGAGACCATCCTGAGCGATATGGCGAAAACCTGTCTCTACCAAAAATTAGCCAGGCATGGTGATGTGCATCTGTCGTCCCAGCTACCTGGGAGACTGAAGTGGGAGGATGACTTGAGCCCAGAGGACAGAGGTTGCAGTGAGCCGAGATTACACCACTGCACTCCATTGGGTGACAGAATGAGACCCCCCTCTCAAAAGAAAACAGCAACAACAAAAGAAAAAAGACCTTGGGACAATTTTTTTGACTTTTTGATACAAATAGAAATTCTCTGATATAAGCAAACACCCTAATCAGAAACACATTGTCATTTTTATTTTGCCAAATGGCAAAATGCCAAAGCACATTTTGATTTGTGCCAAGAAGCCAGCAGTTTTATCCACCATTTCCTTTGTACCCTCAGTTACAAATATTAACCTAGTGAAGGTATATTCTTATGAAAAGAATTGGCCGGGTGCGGTGGCTCACGCCTATAATCCCAGCTGTTTGGGAGGCCAAGGCAGGTGGATCACGAGGTCAAGAGATCGAGACTATCCTGGTCAACAAGGTGAAACCCCATCTCTACTAAAAATACAAAAATTAGCTGGGCATGGTGGTGCACACCTGTAGTCCCAGCTACTCAGGAGGCTGAGGCAGGAGAATTGCTTGAACCCAGAAGGCAGAGGTTTCGGTGAGCCAAGATTGTGCCATTGCACTCCAGCCTGGGTAACAACAGCGAAACTCCATCTCAACAACAAAAAAAAAAAAAAAAAAAAAAGAATTTTGCCTTCTGGGACATCTAAAAATGTCTAGAGAACCAAGGTCCAAAGAGTACAAAGTGTCCTCTGTAGACCACACTTTGAAATCTGCTTCACTAGAGGGTAGAGAGCATAATTATTTGTGTATGTATGTGTAGTTAATTCTCAGAGTCTCGTTATGGCTGTGGTGCATGGCTTATATGAATGGAGAGATGAGAAATAATACAAAGAATATTTTGCTTGTGACGGACCTGGGTATGAGTGTCAGGTCACTATTGGAGTAAAGTGGAGATTACTGACGGTTCCACTTTGCTGAGTGGCTGTGAGGCTTAAATAAAATGTTAGTGAAAATACTGTAGAAATGTAAGGTGGTATTCTTTTCGTGGCATTTTAAAACTTGACTCTCCCCAAGAGCAAATTTCAGGCCCTTGTCTTTAGGGCTGAATCATTGGATTTTCCAGCTGCTTTACATTTTATTCAAATATATGATACTGATTTAAGATACCGGTATGAGTTGTGCCATAAACATCTAAAATAAAGGCAGTTTGATTCATCTCAAAAAGTCACTATATCATCTCACACATTAAGGAACAGTTATATAAACGGGAGCCTTTTGAACCCTAACAAGCCTAGGTTTGGGCTCCCATTATAGACTTAGGATACTTGCCTCTTAAGATTGTAATATTTTTAAACAGACCCTCCCAAAAACTATACTAATATAGTTACATTGTAAAATGTTTTTAACAGTAATGTTTGAAATGAAAGAGTAGCTGGTTCTGACTAGATTATTGTCATATTTAAATACAGCCAGGGGGAAAGCTGATGTGTCTGATTATATTGTCTTACTGAGAAATGGCAGAATGAGAGCAAAAGTCTTCCTTAGAACAAGAAACTGAACTTGCAGACAGACCCTTAAAGAATCTGTTATTCTGTAACAGTGAAACAGTTATTCAGGAGAGTGCTGTCTTGACTGGGAATTGAGAATGATTTCAGGCCTACCTCTACTGTTCAGTACTTTTACCTTGGGCAAGTATTTACCTCTATCATGCCTCAGTTTTCTCATCTATGAAATAAGTGTGTTAAACTAGATCTTGAAAGATCACTCTAACATGAACTTAAATATGAAACAAAATGTTATTCTGGCCTTAACCCCAACTAACTAAAATTCAGCGTGCCAAAGCACTACTTTTATTTTTTGGTACCTTCTATTTAGTGAAGTTTTGTTCTGTTTGGAGAATTTGATCCATTTGTCCTGTTAAGTAAGAACAGAAGAGACTTTTATGTCATCCAAAAAGTGATTGATAAATAACTTGTTTTTACTAACTTGACTGATATAACATGAATTGAAGGCTGCTAGTATAGCTGTTACCTGAAACTTTTAAGTATCAATACTTCATGGTAACTACTAGGCAAGAGTATGATGTTTTACTTTTTGTCTTCCATATCTGTAACTAAATCTTGCCTAAGAAAGTATTTCCTGTTATTTTTTATGAAGGCATAATTATTCCCCTACAATTTTTTCAACCTTGTGTTCTAAGATGAATCATTCCATATTAGAGAGGAAAACAGTTGAGTGCATATTGCCTTCCTTCTTACTAACTAGGTAAAGAGATATTTTTAAACTTAGATTAAAATAAGCATATACGTAAATAAGTATTAAGTAAAATAAGCATTTAAAGTACTTACTATTGTCTTGGAGTAAAGATTCCTTAGGAATATTGATATTTGCTTCATTTAGTTGTTTCCTAATATATTAAATAGGGCTCTTGGTCTATATTTGCAGAATAGGTGTCTTGTTTATGGTTATCAACTTAGGACTGGGTAAAATCAACTTGAGTTTGGTAAGTGAATAACCATGCCATTTTTCTAGGTCAAAAAAAGTAGTCACTGGAGCAGTGATTTTCAGTCCCTCTCGAGAGTACATTTCACCACATCAGACCTTTTAATTTTTTGTTGTCTCCATAATGTTTACTGTTCCTTCTTCTCCTTCCCTACTGGTAGGTGGTAAAGCCCAGCAATGATTCATATTCATCTCTCTAAAGCACTTGAGTGTTGGTACATTAAAAACCTAGGAGTCTCAGAAATCTGGAAGCTAAAAAGCAGCCTTTTCTTGGAGGAAGTCTTAATAGTGGGCTTTAAAATAGAGTGACCGTACAATTTATCTTCTAACCTGGTAATACTTTCAAGAGAAAAAGAGGGTATTACTAATAATTACCCCTCATGGACAGTATATAAACCATGACTATACTGGGCAAACCAGAATGTATATTTTAAAGTATTTTAAAAGTATATCGAGTTAATTTTTAGGGTGTTCTCGGGACTGAGGTTTTCACTTTGACTTAAAAGTGAATTATTTTTATAATTTATGAAGTAAAATATATTCCTCTATCATTGCTATTCCTTTTTTTTAAAAAAAGATAATATATTTAAGTACATTTTTCTGTCAGTCATCCTAGAATATAAAAATCAACCATTTAAAGTCTTAAAAATGTTCCTCAGAACTTGCATTGACTTAAAGTCCAGTGTCTGTGAAAGAGTGAACCTTTCTTTGCTGCTGCTCTCTAAGTACCTACTAATGTGCAAAGATTGTGTCACTTTGACTTATTTTTAAGTATGATAAGTAGATAGTCCTGCCATAGCTTTGTTACTGTAATCCTCTGTCTTATTATTTGAAGACTTGAATACCTGAAATTTGATGATAATAGACTTTACCTTTATTAGAATATTCCTATTGGCCTTTTTTCCTCTTTGGTAAGTTTAACATTTACTTAAAAGAACATTAGAGAAATTTTATGACTGTTTTCTCTGTTTTGGATTGTATAATCTTTTCCTTCTGATATTTACTCTGTGATCAAAGTAAAATTAGAATATGTATACAAACATTTTTCAACTAAATCTATAAAGTATTAATAAGGTTTTGTTTTCTTTCCTCTTTAGATGTATGGTCTGCTGGCTGTGTGTTGGCTGAGCTGTTACTAGGACAACCAATATTTCCAGGGGATAGTGGTGTGGATCAGTTGGTGGAAATAATCAAGGTGAGAAGGCTGAATCAGAATTTTTGAACCAGAAGAAATTTTGGTGCTACTTTAATAATACATATCACACATACACACAGATGAGAAACTTAAAAAATGGAGGAAGTGACCGAAGGTCACGTAGCAAGTTCAGCTATAAAGTGGGTATAAGAACACCCCCCAGCCTTTTGGTTTTTATTTGAGTTACTCTTCTCTTGTATGGTCCTAGAAAAGCTATTATGTATATCTAATACAAGAGATGTATATATCTCTTATTTAAAGTACTTAAAAGCAAAATTGGACTATAAGCTAATTAAAATGTATGTAAGCTGAATAAAAGCAGAAGCTGTATCTGCTTTTGCTCACTGTACATTCTCTGCTCCTAATACGCTGTGGAGCACATAGGACATACTTGTATTTGGTTACTATTTATATTTATTCAGTACTTATAAAATGAATGATTGCCTACATGTCTGGCTAGATCATTAGTAGAAAGTAAATTTTGACTTAGGGATTTAATATAATTTTATTTATTGAGTCAATATTGGTTTAATATAATTTTATTTTTAATTTTATTTAAAGCTGAATAAAAGCAGAAGCTGTGTCTGGTTTTGATGAGACACAGCTGCTTTCATCCAGCTTTGCATACCTACACCTTTATTAACAACAAACATTTAAATATTATCTTGGAATCTATGTTTTCTTTTAAGGATAGTAGAGCTGAGATTTTAATTGAATTTTTAAATGTATTTTTTTTAAAGTTTTAAATATTTGAGATCTTAAAAGAAGCCTCTTAAAAAACAAAAAAACTAGTGTCTATATTCATATCACTAGATTGGTTCATTCTAAGGTTTCAGTTTGGACAAAGCAACACCACCTACAGTCTTTGGGTCTTTGTTTGTGATATCCCAAATTTTTCATAGAATTGTTAAATTGAAAAATCTCCTTAGAGATTGTATTGTCCTAGCCAACATATTTTAGTTACATTTCTAACAAATGGTTTTCTAGTATTTTCTTGAACACTTTCCCGGCATCAGATTACTACTTAGGATGCAGTTCATTTTATATTGGACAGCTTGAATTTAGTTTTCCTTATACTGAGCCCTAACTCCTCAGTGACTTCTACCAGTTGAATATAGGACTGTGATCAAATTTTTTTCACATCCTTTTACTTCATTCTATAAAAATAGGGATTTTTAAAATCAAAAGTGGTTTTGCTAGATGTCAGTATGTGCAAGTATAGTTGAAAAGACCAGGCCGGGCGCGGTGCTTCAAGCCTGTAATCCCAGCACTTTGGGAGGCCGAGGCAGGTGGATCACGAGGTCAAGAGATCGAGACCAAACTAGTCAACATGGTGAAACGCCGTCTCTACTAAAAATACAAAAAAAATTAGCTGGGCATGGTGGCGCGTACCTGTAATTCCAGCTACTCAGGAGGCTGAGGCAGGAGAATTGCCTGAACCCAGGAGGCGGAGGTTGGGGTGAGCCGAGATTGCGCTATTGCATTCCAGCCTTGGTAACAAGTGAGCGAAACTCCGTCTCAAAAAAAAAAAGAATAGACCAGTTTATGATCAGCGAATCATCCTTACTATCTATATAATTTTGCATCTTCTTTTTGGTAACGATCTTTGAGTTTCAGATTTAACCTTTAACCCTTGTTAACAGAACTATTTTCTTTTTTATTTCTGTGCTACACTCAGATCTAAATTTGAGTAGTTTGCTTTCTTTGTTTTTTAAACACCTACCCTGTCATGTAAATTAATGCTTGAATACAGAGCTTGGCCAGCTTTTTCTGTAAAGGACTAGATAAGATATTTTAGGCTTTGTGAGCCAAAAAGCAAAATCAAGGATATCATATAGGTACTTCAATAACAAAAGAGAAAACACATTTTTACAAAATTTTTTACTGATGAAGTTAGAGGTATAATAATTGAGGGTTTTCTTTTTTTGTTTTTTCTTTGTAAATACAGCTCTACTAAGCAGAAGAATTGAGTTCTTTTGGGGGGATATAACCTTTATTTTAATTGAGGTTCAAAGTTAGTAGTTTCTAATTATCAAGTTGATTGCAGATCTATTAATTCTTAGCTTATGGACCTTACACAGACAGTGGGCTATAGTTTCCTGATCCCTGCTCTTACATAATCATTCAGCATTTCTTCTGTCCCTAAACTTTTATTCGATGTACTTGAGCTCACCATCACCATGCTACAATCCTCTGGACATATTTGCTATTCTATTTGTCATATGTGTTTAGCTCATTAGAACTGTATAATTTCTCTACTGATTATATTTTAGAATTTTGTGGTCATTTGTCATTAATCTTAATTAATTCATTCATAATACAAATAGAATTTCTAAGAAAGCTAAGTGAACATCTGTGATAATTCCCTGTCTCGTGCCTGCCACAATATCTTACAAACCTTTAAGTCTAGAGCTTGTTTGTACCACTTTTTGATAGTCCTTGTAATCCATTTTTCTGCTATTGTTAGTTTATTCTGCCTACTTAATAGATTTTGGTAGAAACTCTCAGTTTATTACTGATAATTTCAAACTTGGTTTTTATTAAGTGCTTATTTTTTGCATAATGGCCCATGATCAGTATGTAGTAGCAGGCCAACTCTGAAACAAAACACTCATTACTTATGTACTGTGCTATCATCTTACATTAAGAAATATACTTATCACCTTACTAGTTCCAAGATCACTGCTTATAAGATGTTTTGATAATGATATATAAGATAACAGAATTAAAAGTATTTCCAAGCATCCAGGGCATTTGGGGATACCTGGTTTCTAGGTCCCTTTTATGTCCTTAAGAACGGCTGCCCAGGATAGATGGAATTAACAGTAGTAGTTTACTATCCATTTATTGACTGGAAGTTACACATTGCATGGAGACTCATAGGCTTTTTATTTTGTGCAAGTGTGTGTATGTTTAGTATAGTTCTAAGTCTTACTGCATGAAGGTTAATAAACTTCATAGGAGTGTTGTGTGTGTGTTTAACGTAGCCCCAAGTCTTATTGGTCTTGCCAGGGGCAGTAGTTCACACCTATAATCCCAGGACTTTGGGAGGCCAGGATGGACGGATTGCTTGAGTCCAGAAGTTTGGGACTAGCCTGGGGAACTTGGCGAAACCCAGTCTCTACAAAAAATACAAAATTTGGCCAGGCATAGAGGCACATGCCTGTAGCCCCAGCTTCTTGGGAGTCTGAAGTGGAAGGATTGTTTCAGCCTGGGAGACAAATGTTACAGTGAGCCAAGATTGCACCCTTGTACTCCACCTGTGTGACAGAGCGAGACTGCATCAATCAGTCCCATCAATAAAATAATAAATATCACAGCCGGGAATGGTGGCTAATGCCTGAAATCTCAGCACTGTGGGAGGCCGAGGTGGGCAGATCACTTGAGGTCAGGAGATTTGAGAAGAGCCTGACAACATGGCGAAACCCTGTCTCTACTAAAAATACAAAAACTAGCCAGACGTGGTGGCACGTGCCTGTAGTCCTAGCTATTCCAAAGGCTGAGGCAGGAAAATTGTTTGAACCTGGGAGGCAGATGTTGCAGTGAGCCAAGATTGCACCACTGCACTCTAGCCCGGGCGACAGAGCGAGTCTCTGTCTCAGTCATTCAGTCAATCAATGTAAAATCTTTTTTCTTCTTTTTCCTGCCTGCCTTAACTTCCATCCCTCCTATTATTGCTAACATTTGTTCCTCAAATGTTAAATATATATGAGGTCTCACTGAAATAAAGATTCTTAAGAAATGCTGATGTAGCTGTTCCAGTTTTCCTGATCTAAGTTGGAAAAGAGTGTGTTTATTTTCAAAGTTAAATGTTTTTAAGACATTTTGTAATTTAAACAAATATTTTCATGCACTGATAAACATGGGTTTACGAATACATTTGAAGTTTTCATAAAGGTGGTCTCATAGATGCCCAGTTCAGTTCTCATGTTTTTTAAGGTAATAGTCTTGCACCTTTAGTGTTTATAATAACTAGGGAACTCATGTTAAACTATTATTTTCTCTGGAGTATCTTGGGATAGCTAACCCTGGAAAAATAGATAACTCTTCCCTGAATTTAAGCAAAAAAATGAAAGTGGATAATCATGTAGTAAACTTTATGAAGTTATTATGTGGTAAGCTTTCCTCATTATTTTATACACTTTTTGAGCAGGCACTTTTTTTATTCTTACGTTTTAATATCTGATGGCACCAAAATAATTTTCTATTAAGGTTCGTATTTACTTGTTAGCAGTTGTTAATTTATGAATTTGAAATTAGCTTGGAATTAATAGGAAAAGTTAATGTGGTTGTTGTGTATGTTGTTTGTTACATTTCATTGACTCAGATGTCCATGCCAATAATTTACAACGTAAGTCAAACAGTTTAATTAAACAAACTTTCTCTCATTCTAGCTAACATTTTAAATCTTCCTCACTGCTCTCTGATAGGTTTTTGTAAAATATTTAGAATAAAATTCAAATACATTATCTTTAGAATAAGTTAAAAGTGTAAGAACAGATTTGAAAGTCATGGAAAATCATTTCTAATCAGGAAAAACACAAGTATTTAATTTTCTGAAGTTAATTTCATGCATAAAATTTTCAGGTCAGCATTTCATTGTGTCATGTGACCTCTACATATCAAAATGCTTGGATTTTCACAGCACTTGTTAAAATCCTGTTAGGGACTTCTCATATGATGTGCTTTTTTTCCCCTTAAATTCTTCCTTAACATAGTAACCTCAAGAAATACCTGATATAGTTCCAGATGCATGGTAAAAAAAATAAAACATTTTTGGAAACCTTGTACCAGGAATTTTGACAAACTAATGTTTACTAATATAACATTGTCCTTTGGCACCTCTGCGGTTGGCCATAGCAGTGGAACTTTGTAGAATAAAGTCCTGTGAAGGCTTGTATAATTCTGGTGAAGGTAATAATTTTTAATGACAGTTACTTTTTTTTATAACTACATATTCTTAGATTTTATATGCTTAGCACAAAGAATGAGAAAGCACA